TCCTTGTTCTTCTTCCGGACGAAGAGRACAGGAGCACCGTATGGCGATGAGCTAGGCCGAATCCAACCTTTCTCCAGAAGGTCGTCGAGTTGTGCCCGAAGCACACTTAACTCTTCCTCGCTCATTCGGTAGATGCAACCGCGTGGAGGTATGGCCCCGTCCTCGAGGATGAACTCGTGGCGGATGGGTCGATCCAGTACTACTCCGTGCGGGCCTTCGAACACGTCGCTGTAGGCATCGAGAAGTTCGGTGATGCGTGGATCCGAAGATGAGTCCGTCGATGACGCGTCTTGGGGCGGCAGGGCGTGGAGAAAACACACCCCCATCTCCTCGATGTCGCCTCTAATGATGGAAGCTCGCATGCTTGCGGCGGATACCACGTGACGGCGGATACCACGTGACAGCTGATTGAAGGGTGAGGAGGAGCTACCGCGCATGGGACTAGTACTTCGTTTTGATCACGAACGTGAACGGTGCGGCGGTAGAAGTTCACCGGGTGATCCTTGCTTCGCAGCCATGACATGCCCAAGATCATGTCGAATTTGGTGTCCAGAATGTCAAAGGAAACCGCCTCACTTGCGTGAGGGGCAAAGTACACTGGGATGTCATCAATGCACCAGTCGATTGAGTTGTGCGTGTGACCGTCCGCCAACGTGACTTGCGTGGGATGGGCCTTCCTTCGGACTCGTGGGCCAAGGCCGACGCGTACCATGAAGTCCGGACTCATGTAGTTGCGAGATGCTCCGCAATCGATCAAAGCATTGCAGGTCGCCTCTCCAATCTGAATGCGTACATATAGCAATGGTGCGTCGATGTCGTCGTACCGTTGCGTCTTGAACTCGCGGTCGATCTTCGCAATGTAGGCGTGAAGGTCGACAACCTCTACTCCGACGTCCATCAACGGAGTCGGTACTGCAGTGTGCAAGTAATCTCGCAATTGTGCCTTGAGCACGTTGCAATGCGGTTTCGGCAATAGACTGGAGGTCCTCAAAAGTCAACGGGTCGAGCACTTCAAGTCTTGACCATGACGTCGAATCCCCGGCGATAGATTGCGGCGAAGCTGCCGAATCGGTTGCCGATGGTGATGACACCGTGCATGCGGTAGAGTGTTGCACATGGAGCGGTTGGTCCAGCGGTGGAACAAAGTGGACAGCATAATCCTCGTAAGTGTACCGAGGACTTACGACATGCGCATCCTCCCCAGATGTGTAGGAGGCCGCTAGCAAGGCGGCCGAAACTGGCGGAGTGAGAGGTGGAGTCGCCTCACCTCCTGCGCAACTCAGTTTCCTGAGTTAAGACGAGGCCGCACATCCTCCTTGGCCTGATCCTGGCAAATGGAGGTCTTGTGCTTGGTGCTGTTGCACCAGTAACAGCAGCCGTAACGGTTGCGGTACTTGTACTCGGCCTCGGTCAAGCCGAACTTGACCCATGGTGGTGCTGGCTGTCCGTTTCCGGCCAGCGATGCTGGTTTCGCCTTCCCGTTCACTCGGGGCTTGTTGCTTCGCGGCTGGACAGCAGCCACCTGATCTCCCTCACGTGACGCTTGGGTGGCTGTTGGGTCTTCCACAGTGTCCGATTGGACTGCAGCAAACTGCTGCTGTCGCGGACCAGTTCTCACCTTCTCCACACAGGTTGGCTGCCACGTTGACTTCTCGTGTGCAGCCGCATTGTTGGTCTTGATGATCTCTCTTGCCTTGTCAATGATTTCGACGAAAGTTGCATACTGCTCGCGATCACCAAGTGCCTGGCTCAGCTCAGCGCATGACCTGTTGTAGAACTCACGGCGTAGATGCGTGAATGGTAAGTCCAAATCGGGCACTGTCGCGATCTTCTGCCATTCCGTGAGCCAGTCATGTGTTGCTGTGTTGCCCTGAGACATGGTGAAGAGACGGTTGACGGCAAGTGCTGGAGCGTCGACGACGATGAGCCGCTTCTTCCACAGCCGTGTTAACTCTTCCCATGTGATCTTGTCCTTCAAATCGGCAACGTCGACGCTGTGGGTGGCTGCCAGGTGAGTCAACCAGATCTGGCATCGGCCCTTTGAGTTCATGAACAGGGCGCCGATGTACGCGTGCTTGGCGACAGGCAGAGTCCGCAGTTGCGTCGTGAAAGCTTCCCACCAGAGCAGCGGGTCCTGATGCGTGTAGTCGTCGAACTTCTCCAGTTGAAAAGTTGGCATCTTGTATTGCTTTGGATTGCCATCCGAGTTCGTTGACTGCAGTTGCTGGACCTCGGTCTTCAACGTGTCCAGCTGGCTGCTGATGGTGGTTGGCGCCGCGAAGGTAATGATGTCGCGCGGGCATTGCCACTACGTGGTCAACGCGTTCCTCAAGTTGGCGGCTAGAGGGTGCACTGCTGGAAGCCCCAGCATCTGGTCCTGGTACAGCCTGTTCCAGGTCCAGTACACGGGAATTGAGTGCCTGTGTTGCATCCTCGTGGCTCTGCACCATCCGGTGGAGGTTCGACAACTCCTGGTGCTGTGTCTTCAGATCTTGGTACTGTTGCTGCAGTTCCTGGTTCTGTTTCTCTAACTCGGACCGTTAGTAGTTGCAAGCACACAACAGCCGTGTCACGAGTTTGGAGAGGAACTCCTTATGCTGCTCTTCCGGTGTTGCGTTGTCGCCGTTTGGTTCAAAGTGGCAGAACTTGAGTCTCTCGATGCTGTTGGCTTCATGCCGCTGCAGCAGATCCTCGGCTTCCTTGCGGCGAGCCTGGGCATCTGCGTCTGCGTCGGCCTGTAGCCGCAGCTTCTCTGCTGTTGCCGCTTCTTCAGCCTGTAGGCGGGCAGCCGCGGCTGCCAGCTGGAGTTGTTCCTCAGCCTCGATGAAAGCGAGCTGAGCCTGGAAGCGCTTTTTGTAGTCGGCAATGGGCTCATTGGCCAGTTGGCCTGGCAGGCCCATTGCTGGACCCATCATGCTGACGTGGCACTGTGACTGACGTGGCACTGCTGAGGTGGCACTGTATCTGACGTGGCACTGCTGACGTGTCACTGTGTCTGATGTGGCACTGCTGATGTGTCATTGTGTCTGACGTGGCACTGCTGACGTGTCACTGTGTCTGACATGGCACTGCTGACGTGGCACTGTGAAGTTGGCGCCTGTTGACGTGTCACTGTG